GAGTGAGTGGAGGGAGTGAGGGAGTGAGGGAGTGAGTGAGTGAGTGAGTGAGTGAGTGAGTGAATGAGTGAGTGAGTGAGTGAGCGAGTGAGTGAGCGAGTGAGTGAGCGAGTGAGTGAGCGAGTGAGTGAGTGAGCGAGCGAGGGAGTGAGTGAGTGAGTGAGTGAGTGAGTGAGTGAGTGAGTGAGTGAGTGAGTGGGTGGGTGAGTGAGTGAGTGAGTGAGTGAGTGAGTGAGTGAGTGAGTGAGAAGCGGCACCCGTTGGACCGGGGCCATGCCTAAGGCGCCATCCCTCCCGGCATCGCAGGGGCTCCGTAAACGTCATTGCCCCTCCGCTTGGAGTTCAAGCTGGCAGAGCGCCCCGGGAGCACCCGGCCAAGATACCTTATGTGATGCAGATAGTCGCCCCGGCGCCGAGTACGGTAACGGCAGCAGCAGCAGCAGCAGTAGCAGCAGGTAGGCGCTAGGTGAATGAAGCTCAGATCGTACCACTCGGAATTCAGGCAGCGGCCTGTGGCAACCACACCCTGAACCAACTACCAAACAACAGCCACCACAACAACGACGAACAACCGGGACAACGGTAGAGGGGGACGTGGCCAGAGGCACCCGCCCTCCACCGAGACCTGAGTGGGGCGAGGCAGCACAACAACGAAACGCCATGGACCAACAACTAGCGGCCACCTTCCTGCACCGGTCATCTATGGGGTTGCTATTAGGGCAGCGAGCACGGTGTCAGGGGGAGCAGCGGGGTGACCTTCCTCTGCTCGGGTGCAATGTAAGGCCGTCGCACTGCTGGACTTTAAAGCCGAGAATCCCCTAGTGCGCCCAAGCGCCCAATGAGGACAGCACCCCAACTGCACCACTGAGCTGCCCAGGCACGAGCCATCTGTCACATGTTGCGACAGCCCGCATGGCTTGGCTTCCAAGCACTGCATCTGGTACATCTGTAAACGCCGTCAGCCCGAAGACGTCGCACCCCGAACTAACTAGTTCTCATGTTGCTCAGTGCCGTGGGGTCAAGCCAGCGCGAGCACGTCTCTTCCCGGGCAGCGGCAGGTCCGCTTCAGCCGTGGCAGCCTGCAGCGGCTTGTCGTTGCCGGCGATGCACCTGCGCACATGTCGTGTCGGGCCATTGGTTGCCTACACACGCGGTGTCTGGTGTAAAATGTTAAAATAAGACAAGAACCCAGTAACTACCAGCATGTGCAGGGGGCCCGCAGACGTTTTGCCTCACCGGATGCTCAATCTTGTGAGGTCTCCCTGGACCGCCCCTTCTCGGAGAAGAATGCACACTGCACGTGTCATGACGTCTCTGGCGTGGTCCTCCTCGAACCTCTGGTGAAGAGATCTTAGGTGGTCCAAGAACGTAGTGATGAGGCCATCCAGCGAGTGTGCCCCATCTGCTCGGGTTCTTCTCAATGCCCAGCGTCGTGCCCTGCGCACGGTGATTTCTGCATGGGGTGGGCCAGCCACCCTATATCCAGCACCCTCGCAGGCCCTGGAGGCGACGAGTGCTAGATGCTGCTGCAGCTCACGCTCAGGCTCTGCACTCGGCCCTCTTCTGGGGCTTGTCGCCATTCTACATCGAAGTGTGTGTGTGTGTGTGCAGTCCGGGCAGAGTCGGAGAGGAGAGAGGGCTGCAGGGAAGTAAGCCGCATTAGCGCCGTGGTTCCAAGCCCCACACCGGCCCCTCAAATGCAGGGAGGTGAGGCATGCTGAGCATACTTCCGCAGAGAACGCTCGGCACCATGGGCAAGGTTGGCCAAGGTCCACTGCCTGGCGGCCCGGCACCATTGCACGACCACATTCCCAGCACAGGTCTACGGACTCAGAGTGGCGGCACCGACAGGGGCCAGCTTCCAAGACTCTCCTCACATCGTCCCAGCTTGGACCGTCAGCACCCCACTGAAGTCGGCCGTTTTCCGTGGTGGGCACACCCCGTACCCACAGTGCATGCTGTGTGTTAGCTGCACTCAAGCCGCGACCAGGCCATGCCATGCGCACTCTGGCCACCGCAGCAGCCGAGGCAGGAGCCTGCCATCTGAGCTCGCGGAGGACCCCCGCTCCCGGTCCATCCATCCATGAGGCGATTGACATCTGCGTTCTTCCCGGTCTGGCGACTGGCAGGGCAGCGGCCTCCTCCACGGGCGCATCGTGCGGAGGCTGTGGGAGGGCTAGCCGCATGAGTTCAATGCACGCTTGTGCGCGCTGTAGATATTCCGCCCGTGCCCGATGGAGACCCAGCAGCAACAAACTGGTAATGCGTATCGGCCCATGTTGAGCTGCAGCTCGGGACTGTCGGAGGCGTGCCTCTGCCAGTACGCGGTCTGGTTGCCGCAGGACGGCAAATTCCTCACCGTACAACTCGGAAGTCTCTTGCGGACTAGTGCCTCGCAGTGCCAGGCCTAGCGATGTCACCATAATGCCTCTGTACCCCATCTCCCAGGGCTCCTCTGCCATGGTGCTACGGGCGCTGCTGCCGTTTACGTCTACGTTGCGTGCGGCTTCTCGGTCCGGGTTGGCGACCAGCCACCTCCATGCTGCTAAACACGGCCAGCGCCGCACTGCTTCTGGAGGTATGGGGTCCACGTTCCTTAGCTCTCGCGCCCATCGCAGGCCTGCCCGTCTTATGCTGTCATCACTACTTGCATTTGCCAGCTCGGCTTCCAGAGCGCTGCGTATGTGATCTATGAGGGGGCGCATTGCCGTGCATCTCATGATTACATGTCTGGGTGTGCCAACTCCTTGGCCACACAAAGGGCACACACGGACTGAGTGGTTGTGTTGCGTGTGAGCAGCTGCCGTGTCGCTCGCCTGTTTGTTGGAGTGTAGCATCTCTGTCCATCCCCCCCAATTGCCCGTAGGCACCGGTGCATGAAACCCGACAGGTCTATAGAGTCTCCATCGGATTGCAGGCATAGGTGCCGCCAGCTAGGATCCAGCTTGATATTCGTGAAAAGTCGGGGCTGGAGACAGGGCAGATAGATGTCCTCTGCCAGACGGGCCAGTTTGCCCTGTACTTTCCGCTGTTTCCACTGCCTCATCGCGTCTTGGCGCAAGACTGCTCGCACCGCCTCTCTTGCCTGGGCGGTCACTTGTCGGCCCTGGAAACACAGGGATGCGAAGAGGCTTCCGGATGGGATCCGCACATCATCCGGCTTGCGTAGGCTGTGTGCCCTGTGACATCCTCTGTCCTGGGCTTCATTTCCCCTGGCTAAGATGGGGTAGAGCAGCGCTGGTGCGGACTGGTGGCTTTTGATGTCCACCCCCACAATCCCTGCAGACACAAATGCGGTTTCGCACAACTTCGCCATGCGCTCTCCTGGGAGATGCCGGTGGCAGCGCCAACGCTCCGGATGATATTCCATGTCCAGACGCCAGGATGGGCAAGGAGCGCTGTCCCTCCACTGTTCTACGATGTGACTCCAAGTGGCAGACAAGAGCGTCTCTAGGCTGAGATGGCGTCGGTGTTGCCAATCATCCTTCTGTGCTCGCTGCAATGCCGAGAAAAGGGCGCTCCTATCACACACCAAAAGGTTCCAGTCGTTGACCCGCCGCTGTTGTAAGGCTGTCAACATGCCGAACATTTCTGCCGCGTGTATGCCCGTGGCTTCAAAACCATATCTGCTTGGGAGGCGGCCACGATGCTGACGTCCTTCCGCCGTCCAATAATCCCAGTATTCACCCGGGGGCCCAAAAGCACAGGCTTGGGCACTGAAGGTGCATGCGTCAGCCGCTTCCCCGCCGTCGCTGTAGAGAGCTTGGTCAGAATCTAATCCCGAGGCACGGGTGGAAATCAGTGCTTCATCTCTTGGAACACGGGCTCTTGGGTTGCACCACGTGGAGTAGGGCCAGTCTTCCATCAGGTGCGGGGCCTCCCTCTGGAAAAGCATTTGCTCTGTCTCCCAGTCTGCACTGGCCTGCCGTAGAGCCTGGTTGGTCGCTACCGCCCCCAGTACCGCCGCCCACCGCTCGGCGTTGCCCCATTCTGTTTGGGGAAGGCCCTGCTGTGTGAATGCGGCCACTGCCTGCCGGATGGCATTAGCCAGAGGCCCTGCACGGCAGAAGATTGCTGCACTTGCCGCGTGCGTGGGGTGATATGGCTCCGCCATGCTCTGCGGCAGGATCCCTCTTTCTGAGAACAGGTTGTCCAGGATGCGTCCTACTGTCCGGTCAGGACCCGTCGTGATGTAGAATCCGTACTCGGCGAGGAAACGCATGGCCCGCACGACCAGGCCGGACTGTAGGCCCCGTGCGCCCCTCTGGCTCTGCGCTTCTCGCAAATGGTCTCTGGCCACCTGGGAGACGACACCTGCCCCATTAAGGAGCAGCAGCAAATCATGGGCAACTGAGGAGACTACGCTCTCAACTATCGACGGTAGCTGAGGGCCGCCCGCCGAAGCTGGAGGCTGGAGCGACCAAGCTTACCCTTTCAGCCGTGCAACGGGTGCCTAATTTGCTCAATATAAGGCGTTGAAAAGCCGCTTCTTCTTCATGGATGCTTGGGGCTGCCGGGATGCCCACCAACGCGGCATAGGCGATGATGCCACGAACTTTCAGCTGCATAATCATTGCGACCTCATCCCATGTGCAAGCCCGGGCCTGCGCCTCCAACCTCGCAGCTTTGATGCGGCGTAATAGCTTGTCTGCAGCTGGCCCGTGACGATCCAGGTGAGTGATATTCTTACCGAGCAGTGTCTCCAGACTGTCTTCGAAGGAGCGGTGCAAGCGTTGGGAGCACATGCCGCCTTGCCATACGTCCCAGCAGGTTGCTCTGACACCCTGGTGATTCATGTGAGCTGGCGCCTGTCCAGCAGCAATAAAGTCCTGCCAGTCAGTGGCGTATGCTGTGCACTTGCTCCAGGTGAAGCCTATGCCCGTGCCCCGGCTGCCCGTGCTCAGATCTCCAAGGATGGTGTCGAGATCGGAGGCTCCGGCACCATAATGCTCTGCGTCGTCGACATAAGAAGTTGTCGGCACCGTGCGCCCAGCTGCAGTGGTATAGTGTGCTGTGCTGCGTTCGCGTAAACGAATAATAGGGTCCTGATCCGCTTTTGAGCGCTCTGGCGCAGAAACGGAGCCCTGAGGTAGGCCTCTACGTAGGTGGATCTCAGGGGACGGCCCCCACCTAGTTTCCACCTGTACACGGAAGTTGCTGAAAGCCGAGGTGTAGAGCTGCCTGACGTCCGAAGGGATTCCACGAGCTTGCATGACTGCGTCCGCCGCCGGGGTGGAGATGCAGTTATTGAACCAACATCTAAGCGTAATGATGTACCTAAACCAAACGATAATGGGCCCTACATCGGGAAGTCATTGAAAAGCGTTTGCAAGGACGAGCAAGCCCGGAGCTTTGCGGGAGAACTCCTTGGTGTGTGTTGATCCATAGCAAGGCGTCGGGCATCGGTGGATATACCAAATCCCTCAACCCCAAATCCCTGCAGCCGCCAGAACCCGGACATTCCCACTTTGGCACATTACCTGGCCAAGACTCGCCTTGCACAACTCAAGCACCACAACTTGAACACTATGTGTCTGTCGAAATCTGCGGCTCGAACTCACAGACACCTATCCGTGCTCTCAAAGCGCTGAACTCCTGAATAACTCTAGCACCGACCTGCACCTACTCGCGATCTAGAGCAGGTTCGGACCCTCGTCCATTGCACCGCGGGACTCCAGTGCAGGTGCCCACGCACCGCGCTGGGCACAGGCACTGAGGGCAGCATTGTAGCCGATGATCTCAGATGGTGCAGAGACTTGGTCAAGACATGGCACGCGGTCACAGAAGGGTTCGTTAAACCGCATTCTGGGATGCCTCTAACGTCTGAGCACGTAAGCATTTCTCGACAGGCGGCTGCAGCGTGCGACCCCTGCTTCAAGTCACGTAGCAGCAACAGGGCCAGCTGCCACTTGCCGGCTTTCTCGCAAGCACTGATCGTAGCATTGAAGGCTATCTCATTTGGGATATGTTCGACGATCAACTGCTCCAGCAAGCAGCAACCAGTTTGCCACATGCGACTCTTCTCGCAGGCGGTGATGGTGGAGCTGTAAGATGCAACCTGCGATTCTATGTTGTGCTGTGTTGTTCCTTTAGGATCCCATGCGGTGGGTAAAGCTATGCGATCGTTTCTCTTACGAGTAGCATCACATCTCTTTTCTTATCTGAACTAGCTGCGCAGCAGTGTTCTCTAGCATCTTGGCATTTCATCCAAGCCACTGTGGTTTGCTTCAACTATAGTTCTGGCAATATCCATGCTCTCTCTCATCATTGTCATATGAGATACAAGGCGGTTCATTCATCAAGCTACTCTTCGAGCTCGCATGTTGCTGCCACACCAGCACGGCCCCATGGCCATAGAGGCGTGGCTAGAGCTGAGGCAGCCACGGTGGCCTGGATGTCCTCGGTCTTCAGGTGACCCAGCACCAGGTGGGCACGTTGCCAGGCTCCTCGCTTGGCACAGGCGCCGATGGCTCCGTTGAAGACGATCACATCTGCCTGATGAAACACAGAGTTACACAGAAACTCGCGGCACCTTGTCTTAGCCATGTTCGATTTTAGGCGGATCCGGGCACACGTGCCGGCCCACCTGCACGCCACCCAGCTTCTGCAACACGTGTTGCGCCCGGTGCCACTGTGCATGCTTCTCGCAGGCACTGATTGTGGCGCTGCAGCTGACCAGGTCTACCTCCAGACCGCATGCCACTAGATTCTGCCATGTTTGAAGCGCATGGGTCCACCGCCCCATCTCACCGGCACGGATTGCAGCAGTGTGGGTAACCGCATCAACCTGCATGAAACGGGGTGTCTTAGATCCTTAATAATTCAGACCCTGGCATGGAGTCTTGGAGTAGACAAAGCATGCAAGACTCCAAGCACGAGCACAAGCTTTGAAGCCCTGCCTCCAAGGTGTTGTCTTTAAGGAAATTCAGCAACATCGATACACGCCGCCAGTTGCCCGTTACTTGCGCATCCAATACAGGATTGTAAGTTAGCAGGTCAGCCTTCAAAGCCTTCTGCGAAAGCTTGCATAGCAAGTGCTCCGTGTTCTTCCAGGCAAACCCCCTACTACTCGCAGAAGTCACAGTGTTGTAAGTGACGAGGTTCGTTGGGAGACCGGGTTCTGCCAGTAACATGATAGCCTTCTGCCACTCTCCACCTCCCCCACATGCACTGATCATTGAGTTCAGTGCAATAACATCCGGCTTAACGTCCTGCATTGAAACATAGAACAGCAGCAATGCGGGTCGCCACTCTTCTGCTGTCGCCAACATGCTTAGTGTCGTGCTATATGAGATCAGGTCCACTTGCATCTTTTGCTGAATGAAGTGAAGGAGCCTCTGTGCCTGTGACCATGCTTCGACTGCTTCGAAGGTGCTGAGAGCCGCGTTGTAACTGACTAGATCTGCTTTCAAACTCTGCTCTGGGAGTTCCAGCAAGAGCTGCGCCGCTCTTCGCCAGTGTCTTCGGTCTTTCAGGGAACTGATGACTGCGTTGTAAGAGATGCAGTTCACTTCTACTCGCCGACCTTGACACTCGTGAAGGAGAAGCACCGCCTCCTGCCAGCGCTGCCTTTGGCCAAAGGCACGGATGACAGAGGTGCAGGTGACCACATCCACCTGCCCCTTCAACCCTTGAAGGAGCGTGTCGAAGAGGCTCAAGGCCCACGACCACTCACCTGCATTGCCACAAGCCGTAATCACTGAGCTACAAAGGACCTGATCAGGAAGAACTTCCTGCCGCTTCAGATCTGCCAGCTGGGCCAGGGCTCTCTGCCACTGCACAGCCCTGCCCAGCGACTTGACAGTCGATGTGCAGCTCCTCAACACCTGAGCCTCCATCTGGGCGGCATGTGACAAGTACACGTCAGCATCCATGGCGCCTCTTCTACCATCCTGACCCTGTCAAACCTGAAAAGCTGCGACCGACTGGGGGCTTTGGTAGCGCCTACCACATGCCTGGCGCATGACTCGCCTCGCCACTTAGACCCAGTGCTCTTTTGCCCTCCACATGACTGGGCAGCAGCTCGGCTCGCACCTCGGCTGTGAAATTCCGAGTGGCTGTCCTCTGGATGGCCTACGTGGACCGAATTCCGCTGCGGAAAATCCAACTTATTTCATCACGTTCCAGCCTGCGCATCCATGCGCAGAGCATCTTCAACGCTCAGTCTGATAGAGTGAAGGCACTTTACAGTGTGGTGAAGTTGCCGGGAGTGGTCGTACGAACTACATGCAAATGCCAAGGTCAAAATGTCGGAAGGCACCCGTTGCAGCTGCATAGCTTCGACAATCTGTAGCACATGTGCCCACTTTCTAGCACCGCTGGACTGTGCAAGAGCACTGACCACAGCATTGTAGCTGATCAGACTTGCCTCCAGCTCTTCTCGCATCAGCTCGGTGAAGAAAAGCTGAGCGTGGTGCCATCTTCGGGCTTTCTCACAGGTACTGATCAATGAAGTGATGGAGACTGTGGTGGCCTGAATCTGCGAGCGACGTAGCTCACACAGCAAGACCCAAGCCTGGCGCCAATCACCGCTTTTTTCACAAGCGCTGATTGCGGCATTGTAAGCTGTGGCATCTGACTCAAGGCGGCATGCATGCAGCTCCCGCAAAAGGATGCAGGCGTGCTGCACCTGGCCTTGCCGTTCGCAAGCACTTATGGCTGCACTATAAGCAATAACATCCGCCTCCAGTGTCTGTTCCAAAAGCTCGCTTAGAAGGAGCGCTGCCTGCTGCCACTCGCCTTGCTTCTCGCAGGCGCTGATGACAGAACTGTAGGTAATTACGTCGGCTTTTACGAGCTCCTCCTGAAGTTGACGCAGAAGAGCTCGAGCCCTTTGCCACTCTCCAGGTTTCTCGCAGGCACTGAGCGCTGCATTGTAGGACGCGATATCTGGTTCGACCCGGAGCCTCTTATACTTGTCAAGAAGCAGCCATGCTCGGGGCCAGTCTCCTGCCTTTCCCAAGGTGCTAATCACGGTATTGACGGTAACAGTGCTGGCGCTAAACAGCTCTCTGTCGAAGACGTCGAGAAGTGCCTGAGACCTATGCCAACCGAGACGCTCGCCATTATTTAGCAGTGCATTGTAAGCGACCACATCTGCTTGCACGCTCTTGCACCTCAAATGCTCTAGGGTCAGGTGGGCTTGCAACCAGTCATCATCTTTGCAAGCAGCAATAACAGAGCTATATGTGATGATGCTCGGCTTGAAGCGCCTCCTCGCAAGCTCTTCCAGAAATATTCTTGCCATCTGCCACTTTCCAGGGTCTTGACATGAGCTTGCTGCAGAATTGTATGTGATCTCATCCGTCCGCACCCGAGATCTCACAGCAGTGTCCAACAGAAGCTGTGCACGATTCCACTTGCCATCACTGTGCACAGCAACTGCTGCATTTAGAATGCGAGTGTTGGGTGTAAGCCTGTCACATCGAAGGTCGCGCAAGAGTTCTGTAGCTCCAGACCAATCCCCTTCTATCGCACATGCACCCAGAGCAGACCCGTAGATAAAAATGTCAGACTGCAGCCCAACGTGCTTGAGCTCTTTAACCAACTGCATCGCACATCGCCACGAAGTGCTCCTGGCGCAAGCACTGATGGCTGACGTGAAAACCAAGGCATCCAATGCTACGGCTTGGCAGAACGCCTCTCTGAGCAGCTGGAGCACTTGGGGCCAGAAATTTGCGCGTCCGCACGCACCGATGGCCAACGTGCACCTCAGCGACAGCCGCGCAGGGTGACTCTGGATAACGTCAACCGGACACTGGTGAAAGTCTACGGACCAACACCAACACGAAGAAATCAAGCACGAAACATGTGCTTGCAAAGCATTTGCAAAGAAAAAGCCATGAACGAATGTGACGACCCAATGCGTTGATCAATCGTGACACGGCACTTTTTGAGCTGGTCCCGGCTGGCTCCAGATCGAGATGACAATTGCGAAGCAGCAATGGGCGAGAGCATAAGTTAAGCTGCCCCCAGCAATCAAAAAAATGATCGCCCTGACCTTCGTGCGAGCGAGGCCATGTCCACGGTCCACATCAGCTGCCTACCAGCGCCAGCCGACCTTGCGTGGATGCCAAAGTGCCTCCATCATCGTTTCGCTACATGCAGATACTACGGGCCGGGCATGGAGGCAGGTATGGAACATGTCCGTATGTCTCCGAACCCAAGGACAACGGTGACAGCTGGAGCAGTTGTTGAAGCATGCGGGCCACTCATGCAATTTCATGCGCTGTCGTGCAGTGCTTTTCGACAACCTTGTTCCGATGCTACCGCCACGGCGATTCTCAACTTCAGCTTGCAATTGACATCGACGGCATGCAACAATGGCAAAGCTACCCTGAATTCTCCTGCACTTGAGCAAGCTGCAGCAACTGAAGCATGAGCGACAACATCAGCTCGAAGCTGCTGTTCGATCAAAGATATAAGTAGAAAGTACGCAATATACCAGGTTCCACCCTTCTCACACGAGCCAATGGCCGCATTGCAGGTAAGGATGTTGATTTGTACCAGCCTTTCCTGAGCTTCGTGTAGATGAAATAAGGCTTTATCCCACTGTCCGGCCTGCTCATATGCGCTGATGAGCGAGCTATAAGAGATCACGTCGGGCTTGAGCTGCTCGTCCTTTAACCTCTGCATCAAGAAGAAGGCATGTTGCCACTTCGCACACTTCTGATATGTGCTGATCACAGCATTGTATGTCACTACATCTGCCTGGAGGATGTGCCGGTCCATCTCACAATGCAGAAGCTGGGCATGGTGCCAGGCAGCACCCTTCTCGCAGGTGCTGATGAAGGAATTTACGATGATGTTGTTCAACTTCAGCTCGCAGCTCTGCAGTTGTCCAAGAAATAGCAAAGCCTGCACCCAGACTCCATGCATCTCGCATGCTCCCAGCACAGCACCATAGCTGAACACGTCAGCTTTAAGATTGCCCGTCTCCAGCTTCAAAAACATCAGCTTCGCATCTTCCCATTTGCTGGCCTTCTCGCAGGCACTGGCCAGGCAATTGTGAGTGGTCAAATCTGGCTGTACCTGCTGACATCGCATCTCCCCGAACTGCGAACGGGCTTGCTGCCATTCTCCGCACTTCTCGAAGGCACTGGTCACAGAGTTGGTCGTGATCACGTCTGCCTGCAACTGTTGCTGCCTAAACACATCTACCTGCTCAACAGCACGAATCCATGTCCCAGTTCTTCCACAGGCACTCGTCGTAGAATTGAAAGTGATTGAGTCTGCCTGCAGAAGGTTCAGGTGCATGTGCCGGAGGAAAGCTCTAGCCGTCTGCCAATGTCCAAGCCTCTCACCAGCAGCAACTGCAGCATTGAAAGTGATCGTGTTTGGTCTGACGTTTCGCTCCCACAAACCGCTTGCAATGGCATGTGTTCGCCGCCAGTAGCCAGCATTCCCGCATGCCGTCACTGCCGAGCTGATGCTGACTACATCTGCTTGCATGTGTTTCATGGGCAAGCCGTGAAGGAGGGCAAGGGCCTGTCTCCACACACCGATTCGTGCGCAAGCCGCAAGAGAGGAACCGTACACCATCTGGTCAGTCGTGATCTGATCTTTGGATAGCCTGAAAACGATTCAATGCACCTACCTGTCAAATCCGCATGTCTATGGCCTATGGCAGCATGAACCCCGAGCTTTGCTGCAGATCAAAACACACTAAAGAAGAAGACAAGGAGCCTGGCAAGCAAGGCCATGACCGGCTGCCACCGTCCTGCCTTTCCATGCTTTGTGATGGCAACCGTGCAAGACTTCAGATCGTAGCCAGCATCGACACTGCACATGGCAGGCTGGTTGAGAAAGGTATAGCAATGAGTTCTTCTTCAGCTGTGACCGTTATCATTCGACCCAGGCACTCAAGTGACCTGGTTTGTCGGATGAGGCCGTGGGACGCAACACATGATGCTGATTACATGCCCTCCAGTCGAAGTTCCATGTGTTGGCAGTTGAAGCACGTTTAGCTGCTACATGCCAAAGCACCTAGAGCATGAATGGATCTTACACACAACAAGCATGGTGCTGCTGTTTGAAATTACAGAGCATGCAAACACCGTCTCCAAGCCCCAGCTCCTATCAAGACTTGACATCAATGCCCGTCCCGATCTCAAGCTGTCTGGAATATCGCAAGCTGATGAGCACCTGCTGTGAAGATCATTTCGCAGTGCCTATTTTCTGAACAGGGTGTGTCGAACTCGTACCATGGTCTAGGCAGGGTTCACGGTGCTTGTCACTCTGTCCCTGCTTGTATCAAGACCACAGGCACCTGCAAGATTTCCGGGTAACTTCTTAGAATCAGATGGCAGTATACCTGGAGGCAGTTTCTAGGCCAAGCTTTCGGGAAGTAGGCTTCAAAACCTGCGCAGCAGCTCCTGGGCTCACAGCTCTCAGGTCGGGAAGTGTGGAATTGGGCTGCAGCAGATGCGAACATGCCCCATGCGTAGCTTGAAGTTTGCAAATATAGGTTGAGCGGCTGGCTTGAAGGTGGAGATGAAACGACAAGTAACTCACAGCTTTAGGTTTCAGAGCCGCAAATTCAAGAGGCTCTGTGAAGAACTCCCAAACACTGCGCTGCATGCCGGGGTATATCCCACCAACAGATTCACACATTTGCGTGCATTTTTACTGCGATGTCTCTAAGCTAACTCTAAACCGCTTCGAAACCAATACCGGTCATCCAATGACAAATCCTGAGCCCGAAACCACTGCTGTAGAGATTGAGCGCGATGACACGATAACAAGGCGCAGCGCGGCTTGCGCATTTGGGACCTGTTAGGTTTCGCTTTGAAGACTGTAATTTAGATTAAGGATTGTTTGCTTCAGCTTAGGCAGAATGCTGGGAAGTCGCTGCGCTCGACTGTCACTGCACCCATAGCAAGACAGACTCGGAGGCCTTGATGCATTTTCAGCACGTGTTGATCATTCAGAGCTTGCATGTCTAATTGCCAGGGTCCACCTCTGGAGTTTGCCAGGCTTCTGTGCCCTTTAGCTTCAGCAAGTTCCGCATTTGCAGCAGCTTCGCCGATAGCGGGAACTGCGGGAACAGTCAAAACCTCACACCCTCGCGGTTCAAATCAACTCACACACACTGAGACCCTGCAGTAAGCCCTAGATCCAAACTCCCAGACCGGACCTGAACCTTGGTACTGCAAATTCGGAGTCATGTGTGGTGGAGTTGATTTCGGCCTTCGGCAAAATTGAACCCTCACAGTGCGTAGTGGCACGACGTGATGAGAAAAACAAATCGGACTCTCAATAAGGGAATGCTCTTGCTCCAAGGCCGCCCTTCATGGCCCTGTAGCCACTGCCGAAATGCATCTGAATGTCTTGATCACGCGCTTCCATCAGCTCGATGTAGCGAGAGCCCATGTACTGAAAGTTCTTTTGGGTCCAGGCTCGCTTGGCCTCAGATTCGGAGGCAAACTCTACGAAGGCGATGCCTGTGGCCTGGCCGGCGGCATCAGCTGGAAGATGCATTCTTCCAGACAGTGCATAGCCCGTAAAGAATGTCTGCACGTCCTGCCTCGATGCAGAAAACGGCAGTCCCTGAACTCGAAGCACCTTACCTGCGGGAGCTTTGGACTTGTCCCAACCTCCTCCGGCACCTCCGCTTCCCCAGTCGCCGCCCTTGCCGGCGGTGCCACCACTCTTGCCACTCCAGCCCGCGACGACGCTCATCATTTGTAGGAATTCCATCATGCTGTCCTTCATGCCCCCTTTGCTATCGCCAAAACAACCATCAAGATCTCGATCTCGGGCATCAAGCAACTCTATGTAGCGGCTGCCCATGTGCTGCATGTTCAAGTCAAACTTTGCTCTCTTAGCTTCTGCCTCGGAAGCAAACTCCACAAATGCGATGCCCGTTTTTTGTCCAAAAGCGTCGAGTTGAAAGTGCACTCTTCCAGACAACGAATACCCTGCGAAAAACTGATCAATCTCGTTCTTCGAAGCAGAGAACGGAAGTCCTTGCACTCGCAGCACCTGCGCCGCGACAGGTCTGACATGGCTGGAAGACAAACAATCAAGGTCTTGCTCTCGGGCATCCAACAACTCGATGTAGCGGCTGCCCATGTGCTGCCTGTTCAGCTCAACTTTGGCTCTCTGAGCATCGGTGTCCGAAGCCAGCTCCACAATGGCGATGCCCGTGGGCTGGCCAAAACCATCAACTTGTATGTGCATTCTTCCGGACAATTTGAAACCCGTGAAGAACTGCTCAATATCCTGCTTCGAAGCAGAGAAAGGAAGCCCCTGCATTCGCAGCACCTTGCCCACTGTGGGTCTGCTATGGCCGTTGCTCAATGCAAGACAATCAAGATCTCGATCTCGGGCATCTAACAGCTCTATGTAGCGGCTGCCCATGTGCTGCATGTTTAGGTCAGACTTCGCTCTCTGCGCGTCTGCCTGCGACGCAAACTCTACAATGGCGATGCCGGTGCGCTGACCAAAAGCATCAGTTTGTATGTGCAGTCTTCCGGACAATGCGTACCCCGCAAAGAACTCCTCAAGTTCTTGCCTAGATGCAGAAAACGGCAGTCCCTGAGCTCGCAGCACCCTGGCCGTCATTCCACACAGCACGTTTGCAGCACTGGTGTTTGCAGCCGCCTGTGCTAGCGTGAAACTCTACTCAGGCTTCAACCTTTGGCCGGCCCTGGAAGCATGCGTTGAACGGCCGGCAGAGCCTGACTCGGAGCCGTGTCGGACAGTGTATATTTCACATGTGCATGCACACAACTCAGTGCATGATATTTAACTGATTCCAGCATATATAAACCGACATAAAAATTGAATCTGCCATGGCTTTTGCGAAGAAGCGCCAGAAAACACAACAAACCAATCTGCAAGCAAAAACATGCAAGCATGAGTGGAAGCTTACGATTTGCGCCGGCTGATGCTTAAAGTCCACTTCGTGGAGGATGTTTTACTATGCACGACCCCATCGCATCAACGGAATAGAAACTCATAATGTCTCACAATCAGATCTGCTGGGATACGGTCTTGGGGGATTCAACGGCTGACTCACTTCGCGAGGATATGTGACATGGCACTGCGCGAAATGAGCACGCCGCTCTCCGTCCGAGTTGGGTGGGCGAGAGCATTATTGAGGTAGCTGTGATTTCGAAGTTCACAACATGTTGTTGGGAATCACCGTGCCTGGTGCAATACTGATAAACATGAATCAGCTATTTTTTCTGAAGACGCACGCAATTTGAAAATGGAGACTTGAGGTGCCCAAAGCAGATTGCTTTCATTTTCCACAAAAGAAGCATCCAAATGGAAACAGCAACTGCAATTGGCAGCAGAAGCAACAGTAAAAAACCAACAACATGGCACATGAAAAAAAAATTTTGGCGTGATCAGGCTTCGTCGACGGCGGTTGCCGCACTCGGTCCTAGTGGAATCAACAAAAAGCGACAAGAAGCAAAAAGACAACTAATAATCGGTGAAACGTGCTGCGACCAACACGCTAAGCCGGCAAGAGTCGTTCAGCAAAGAATTACCTGGCTCCTGTCAACAAAGTCCTCCCTCAGATGCCCCGCTCCCAGATTTCAGAGTCGCGCAATGGCAAGCTCGCCCCGCTTCCCGTAAAGCATGGGTCGCGCAATGGCACATAGCGGCACATCATGGCATAATGACAGCATGACATGGCGCATGAAAAAGGATGCGTTTTTTCGAAATCTGTTGCTTGGAAACACAAGAAAACGCAGATGTTTTTAAGACCAAAAATGCAAGCAGACATTTGTCTTCACCTAGATCGCGATGAACGACCGCAGGTCTTTGCCAGCGTCATGTTGATTGGGGCCCGGGATCAGCACGGCCAGCATTGCAGACCCACGTGACAGTGGAAGCATTCTGCAACTGGGCCAGCTTCAAACGATTGGCAGAGAAGTGAAAATCAGCTTTCTAAAGTGAGTTGCAATCCAAAGCAAGTAGTGGACAATGTTCAAAGTGGCTTGTGCATGTCGTCATTCAAAGTGCAGAGCCACGGGCACTCCAAATGCACGCACCGCTAACTTTCAAAATCACTTTTCGCGGCGCAATACCTTGCCGAACTCTCTTCTTAAACGGAAAGCCATGCAGCATCTACTGTAAGAGCAAAAATTTTATCAAGTTGTCTTGCAAGAAGAAGTTTTCAAACGCAAATCTTCTAGAAGGATGGGAACCAAGTGGTGCCTCTGCACTGGTCACACAAAACACTGTTTTCGACAGATTTCTGGAAAGAAAATTCCATTGACCAAGCAGCCATTCTAAACAAATAACGCACTCTGTTAGAAAGCGATCTGGGCTTTGACCGTCTTGCTCCCACCGCACACCCCTGCAACAACCAGTCCCAGATGCCTTTTGAAAAGCCAGAAAAGAGAAAAGCTTCAAAGGGAGGGTGAGAGCATTTTTGAGGTAGCTGTGATTTCGAAATTCACAACATGTTGCCGGGAATCACCGTGCCTGGTGCAATACTGATAAACATGAATCAGCTATTTTTTCTGAAGACGCACGCAATTTGAAAATGGAGACTTGAGGTGCCCAAAGCAGATTGCTTTCATTTTCCACAAAAAAAGCATCCAAATGGAAACAGCAACTGCAATTGGCAGCAGAAGCAACAGTAAAAAACCAACAACATGGCGCATGAAAAAAAATTTTGGCGTGATCAGGCCTCGTCGACGGCGGTTGCCGCGCTCGGTCCTAGTGGAATCAACAAAAAGCGACAAGAAGCAAAAAGACAACTAATAATCGGTGAAACGTGCTGCGACCAACACGCTAAGCCGGCAAGAGTCGTTCAGCAAAGAATTACCTGGCTCCTGTCAACAAAGTCCTCCCTCAGATGCCCCGCTCCCAGATTTCAGAGTCGCGCAATGGCAAGCTCGCCCCGCTTCCCGTAAAGCATGGGTCGCACAATGGCACATAGCGGCACATCATGGCATAATGACAGCATGACATGGCGGAGGTAAAAGAAGCGCTTTTTCGAAATCTGTCACCTAGATCGCGATGAACAACCGCAGGTCTTTGCCAGCGTCATGTTGATTGTTGCCCGGCACGGCCAGCATTGCAGACCCACGTGACAGTGGAAGCATTCTGCAACTGGGCCAGATTCAAACGATTGGCAGAGAAGTGAAAATCAGCTTTCTAAAGTGAGTTGCAATCCAAAGCAAGTAGTGGACAATGTTCAAAGTGGCTTGTGCATGTCGTCATTCAAAGTGCAGAGCCACGGGCACTCCAAATGCACGCACCGCTAACTTTAAAAATCACTCTTCGCGGCGCAATACCTTGCCGAACTCTCTTCAAACGGAAAGCCATGCAGCATCTACTGTGAGAGCAAAAATTTATCATCTTGCAAGAAGAAGTTTTCAAACGCAAATCTTCTAGAAGGATGGGAACCAAGTGGTGCCTCTGCACTGGTCACACAAAACACCAAAACACCTTTGTTTTCGACAGACCAAACAGCCATTCTAAACAAATAACGCACTCTGTTAGAAAGCGATCTGGGCTTTGACCGTCTTGCTCCCACCGCACACCCCTGCAACAACCAGTCCCAGATGCCTTTTGAAAAGCCAGAAAAGAGAAAAGCTTCAAAGGGAGGGTGAGAGCATTTTCGAGGTAGCTGTGATTTCGAAATTGACAACATTGCCGGGAATCACCGTGCCTGGTGCAATGCTGATAAACATGCATGAATCAGCTATTTTTTCTGAAGAGGAGACTTGAGGTGCCCAAAGCAGAT